CCCAAATAGCTACATTGTCTTCCTTTATCAGCAGTAGCAAGATTTGAGCATATAGGTATGGCAACAGTATTTTCAGAATAGAAAATGAAAACAAACTTTATTTTTGTTCCCAGTTTATCGGTTTATTTTGATGGCAAGTTGAACAAATTAAAAAAATGAAATAATTGAAGTTATGTTTATTGAAAAAATAAGATATTAAGAAACGCAGACTACTTCCAAAATTTAGAGACTAGTGAGCATCTGGCTCCGTGATTCCCAGGTGACCTACAGCCTTTACATGTGACCAGTCCTGAGTAGTCCTGTCCAGCAGGCATGGGTGAGGGGTTTTTAACAAGCTATTATTAAATCTGAACCTGATTATTTCTGTTTTTATGAAGCACAGGCACGTGCACATACAAAAAAACACACAATGAGTCCTCTCCTACTATGATATAGCAACATCTTTACTCTGTTACAATAATTTGCATATCTAACTTCTCCCCTTAAAAACCAAGCACTTCTCCCCACAAGAACTAGATCATAAAAGTTTGCGTCTTTGCTCATAGTAGATAATCAACAACTGCTTGATAAATGAAAGAATGGATGTATGCAGTTGTACTAATCCTCCATTTCTGGAAGAAGCATATGACCAGAATGCTTTGTATGTTTAGGGGGAAAAAGGAGTACTTGGGGAATTTATTTTGAATTTGTAAGAAAGAGAGACTATGGCAACAAACTGACACAAGAGATTAGAAAACAAAACACAAAGAATGTCCTGGGTGGGTTCTCCTCTGGTATAGATCAGGTGAACAACCAAAGCCACCCCTGCCCACCTTTCCACAGAGATTCCGAGTTTACAAAGTACTTTCCCCTCCATTCTTTTTCTTTTGATTCGCACAACAACCCTGGGTGAGAGATAATCACCAATTTACAGATGTGGAAACCAAAGCTCAGAGAAAATGGTGATTTGCCGGAGATTACAGAGCTAGATTGTAGTCTAGATCAGGGGTTCGCAAGCTTTTGTATGTATAGTGCAAGACAGTAAACAGTTTATGTTTGGTGGGGTCCTACAGCCCCTCTTATGACAACTCTGCCATTGTGCAGCAGCCATAGACAATATGTAAACAAATGAGTGTGGCTGTGTTCCAATAAAACTTTATCTAGAAAAACAGATGGTGGGCTCAATTTGGTCCTTGGGCTGTAGTCTGCCTATCCCCTGGTCTAGATCTTTTGGCTCCAAATCTTGTACCCATTTGCCATAACCACAGTTACTACATTTGGACTAAAATGTTATTAACAACTATTCTGAGGTCCTAAAATGCCTCAGAGGCTTTTTTGAATCATCTAAGAAAAAGTAAATTACCTTCAGTAGTTTATGTTAAGCATTTTTACTGTATTCATTCTCTAGAAAGTGTTGAGATCATAGCTGGTTATAACCCTGTATTTTCCCAGCCATTCTGGATAGAAGTAATTTTTCCTTGCCCTTGGGGTCCTGGGGATCATTCTGATCCTGACGACCTCACGGTTGATGGCAGCAGTAGACATGCTGGCCAGAAGGAATCTCAGCATTTCTGCACCGCCAACCTGCACACCTTGCTCTTTCTCTCTTTAAAAACCATCATTTTCCAGAAACCTAACAGTTATTCTCCTCATCTGCAAAACCCCTGAGGGGGCAGCCAGATGGGTAGCTGCTGCTGAAAACTTCCGAGTTGAGTAAGGAATTTTTGTGGATGTTAGAACCCCTAGCTCAGGCTGAAATCCTGTTCACGAAGCACATGATAAAATCCCCAGTCACCTCAAGATCACCTGAGTGACCATAACCACACACCGGTTAACCGCAGCCAACTGCAAATCCCAGGACTCCTTCACTGCCAGTTCTACAATGCCTCTGTCTGCTTTCAGCTGCCACACTTCTACCTAAACATACCCGAGAGGGCGTCAGAGAGATATGTGGTTGTTACTTCATATATAAATGTGTGCGTGGCTCAAACGTACTTGCTGTATAACC